GTTTTGGTGCCATAAGTGGAAAACACTGGGAATAAAAGTGGGTTAAAGATTATAGATAAATACAATTTGAATGATAGCATATTTTGCAATTACTGGTTGTAGTACTTTGAGTACATAGAACGAAAAGACTGGGTTTACCAGACGCCCCGATTTTTGATGAAAGCATTCACTATCCGGAAATAGCGTTTGAGGACATCAGTTGTACCTGTTTTCCACACTCAAATGAATGAGATAGATTCTGTGTTCTTGCATTAGTTGAAAACCTGTTTCCTTCCCAAATTCTGCCCTAGTTGGAAGCAATTTTCAATTTATCTGTCTAACAATTTGCTGTGAGAATGTTTTCTTGTGCAGAATGGTTTGCAATTTTCCAAGACGTTCTTATGCAGTCAATGTGATTATTATGTTGCCTCTGCCCGTCCATTCCTCTAGGAGAGGAAAGGAAGGGCTCTCGTTTTCCTGAAGTATAATTACAAGTTGAATATCATAGTAAATGCATATGTGATAGTTACTTTTATATTTATTAGTGGCAACCTTTGGATTGATTTAAAGTAGGTCTCTTCAAAGTTTAGAAGAGATAATCCGATGCAGCAAAATAATATTCTTGAGATATTTTAAGAGGATATGAGAATATTATAAGAAAATTTCAGAATCTGTCTATTAGAATATGTTTCATTAGCAGCCAAGTGGTAAGACTTTGAATGCTAGGAGTTTGATGTGAACAGACTGCATGGTTGTTTTTTATAGTGTTTCCCATATATTAACATTAACACAAGCCAGCTTCTTTTAGAAATACCTCAATGAAAACACAATTTTTCTTAAGCAAATAGTGTTGTTCCATTTCAAATATTGTTATTTACTAGATACCGGTGAACTATCACAGTTACATCTGTTTTCATTCTCTCAGAAATATCCAAGGGATATTTTCTGAAATTCTAGAAAGCAAATCTTTAAGCTTGTCACTATCTAACTGAAAGATTTTTTTTAATGGCATTTCTATGAAATATATCTGGAATGTTTCAAGCATATTCTTTTCAGCAGTTTAAAATAATATTACAAACTGGAACATTATTTAAAAATCATAATATTCTGCACGTATACACCAAATAACTTGCACTGTAGGATGATAATGTATGAGACACAGCACAAATTATTTTGTGTTAGGCAAAAGTATAAAACATGTCATTACCACATTTACTTGAAAATAAGACCCCTTTGAACGAAAGACCACTTACACGTTTAGGACAAATTTCAAGGCAGGGGTTCTCAACCAAAGATGGAATAAGACACCACCTGGTTTTTGTTGTGTGATGTTAAAATATAATCTGAATTTAAATAAAGGTGCAAGTAGGTATTTTTCGAATTTTGAAAAGGGAAGGAGATGTTCCTATAGCAATGGTGATACTGTATTTCTAAAAGAAACTGGCTTGTGTTAGTGTTCATACATGGGAAGAATGCAACAGAACAGATTGAGAGCTACTGTTTTAAGAAGTAAAAGTGTGAATGAATATTTGATGATAACATGGTTCTGGTTAGAGTGAAAATTAAACTACCAAATTAAATACAGTATTTTACTACATTATGGAAGGAAGAATTATGAAAAGTTTATGATACATTATTTTATTTGTTTTCAAGTATACCAGTGACCAGTGTAGTGAATACTTGACTAAAATGAAACTGCTTAGCTAGATGTGACTATTATTGTTAGGTGGTAGTTATGCATTTTATATATGCTAATTACCTGTATGATTTATTTAGCGTTTAAATACTGTATTTATTCTACATAGTATGTAATTAAACTAATTATTCTTATTCTGTAATTTTATTTATTAAAATACCTCTTAAGATTCTTTCTAGTTTAAGAACAAAAGTGGGAAAAAAAAATTCAAGTAAACATAGCTACAGTTATAGTGTTAAAAAGGCAGTGAAATTAACACCATAAAATATTACTACATCATAATTTTCTTACTAATTTTGAAGATAAAGCATAATTTTTTTATTAATATTCTTTTTGATAATAAAAAGATGCATATCTCAATTTGACAGGCAGATTTAAAACACATGTTTCAGTTTGTCATTCAGAAACACGGTAGCTCCAATAACACCAGAATTAACGTAGAGATTACAAAGATATTTAGAGTATGTGTGTGTGTGATTATGGCAAAGCCTCGACATCTATCTGCCTAAGGGGAGGGATGTCTTCGTGGAGGACTTTCTAAGGGAACTGGCTCGTATACACGTTACACATGGGGAAAACTCAGAAAATGCCCATGCAGCCAGCCTGTTCACGGGATTTGAACCTCGGACCGAAATACCAGTGTTCAGTAACTTTACCGCTTGGCCGCTGGTGGGCCAAATATATTTAGAGAAAACCTTACAGTGTAAACAGTAAATATTTCTTCCCTTGTTTAATTCAAGAATAGCAAAATTAAACTGAAAGTAATTTCACTGATGGAAATAATCAATTTTCTTTTAACATAAAATATTTGATGCATTTTTATTAGCTATTTATTTCCTTTTTTATTTATGCTATTTTATCTGGTATTATTTTCTTCATAAAGTTCCACTTCAAAAACATAAGTTTTGTTTTTGGAAAATCTTGATTAGATAATTCTTAAAATGCATGCTTTGATATCTATATGTGCAAGCAATCCAAATTTAATACAAAATTTGAATGGAAGAAATGAAAACTTGACTGAAAAATATATAACTCTTGGTACCAAGCTACCAGCATTATAGGAATTCAATCATACACTTGTGTATAGAGTAGAGTCTCTATTATTTTGGAACTACAGTTTTGTTGGTACAACATTACCATGTGTATCTAGGGGCTTTGCAAAAAATAATCATTCTCAGATATAACATAATGTACAAGATTTTAATTACGATTACGTTGATGTCATTTATCAGAAATCTCATCATTATATGTTTTAATTGATTACTTATGTTTTGAAACTTTTAGAAGCACAGTTCACAGCTAATTTCTTTAACCTGTATAGCTTAAACACTAGGCACTTTTTTTAACATAATTTTTTAGCCCAAACGGGAAATTTGCTCAGAAGGGGTTATTAATTTTGTTTCAGCATTTTGCGTCGATTTACTATTAACGGTGAATCACTTTTTAAATTGTTGCCACAAAATATTAGAGCCCTGTGTTATATTTAAAGAAATTAAATAATGAAGAATCTGCATAAATGTATGTATGTTTATCTCATTATGATAAAACAACTATACATAGAGCCATCGAATTTTGAATGATGTAATCCTCCTATGAATATGGGCATGTGGAAGACCAAACTTGAAATTTGTTTTATTATCGATTTCATTTTTTGTAAAACCTTAATGAATTTTTGATTAACAAACTCCAGAATTTCAAAGCGAGCGATGGCAATGTTTTACGGAAAAAACATTTTTATCTCTGGCGCACAAGTCTCTTTATCGGAAATTCTAAAGATATGCTCATTTTAAAACTATTTTTCGATACTGCTGTTGAACTGAATTTGATGGTTTAAATGTGAAGAACGTAATATTTAATAAATAAAGGTAACACACAAAATGTTAAAAAACTGGGCCTTTGGGCATAATATAAAATCTGAAACCTTCCAGATTTTTTTTTCCCCTATTAAAACAAAACAGTAATGTGAGATCAAGGATGTACAACATCCCATGAATTAAACACGGTAATAAAAATAAATTTTACAATGCTTTTCAAGAATAAGTATTTTGAGGTAAATATAATATGTCTAATCCATTTTAAAATAAATAATTTTTAAGAAATTATTGTATTGATGAAGATACAGATTTTGGTTTATGGTAGAATGTAAGAGGAAAAGGAAAAATATAAATTTAAAAGTGATACAAAAAATGCATGCTATTACAATTGAAAGAATATATATCAAACATAAATAATGAATTTTACCCATTCATGTACTTTTTGAAAAATAATTTCACAACTGATGGACCAATTTTTTAACATATTCAAAAAATATTTCTTTCTTTATTACATTAATTGAGAGTTTATTTAAATATACAATGGATAAAGTAGTTAAATTTTCAAACTCGTAGATGGCAATGATATTCTTAAGATGAATGACTCAGCCTTTGCATTCCATTTAATGAATGTTATACAATGTATATTGGAACTGTATTACTTGATTTTAATATGTTTTAAATTAAAGTTAAATAATTATACAGTTATAATAATTGCATATAAATTATTTTATGCACTAATATTCCTGCAACAGACAAAAATCACAGTTTTTACATTAAAAAGAACAGATTTTAAAACATACTGTCCATATTTGCAATAAAAAGTAAGCACACAATAATTCAATTTAAACCTAGACTGCTCGATTCTATTATGCTCCAAAATAATCCATAAATTACAGATTTTAAAGAGTTAATTATATCAAAAATATATTTTTGATTCAATTTTTTTAAGCTACAGATATAAAATTATATAATTAATCCTTTTGCACAAAGCAGCCTTAAATCTAAAATATCATCTTCTGAATGTCATTAATAAATTACAACTAAATAAAATTTAAAATTGTTATAAACATTTGAGAAAATGTTTAAAGCTGAATTTATAATTTCTTATATTTCATACCAATTAAAAATATTCACTTTTACAGTATTTATAGCAAAAGTGTAGAATTACCCACTGCTTGGCATGTTTTTAAGAATTGCCCAAACTCGGTATCTACGTACATATCGACCTATTTTCACTTAAAAAAACATCAGAAAATTGTACAAACTCGGCATTGCGTACTCCCTTGACTTTGTACACATCATCTATTTTCACTTAAAAAGTCAAATGAAATTGACAAAAATCCAATTGTTCTTACTCTTGTAAAAAGCATCAAACAAAATGCGCCAAATAAGTGGGTGATTCTGCACCTCGCCTGTATTCATTTATAAATTTCTTAACAGACATTTTCAAGACTATGAAAAAGTATTTAAAGCTGAATTTGTTTCTTATATTTCATATTAATTAAAAATATTTAATCTTCAGAATGCAACTCGAAGAGTTTTGCAATTTCTGTTACATCTTCAAATTTAAACGATTCATTTATAATTTTCCTAGCAACAGATATTTTCAAGAAAACATTCCAGAGTACAATGCCTACTATTACATCGTCCTTCAAGTAAAATATAATACCTTTTCTATAAATGTCATCAGCTTTAAGGGTGTTTTGAATGTGCTTTTCTCCTAATTCACTTTTATTTACAATTTTTTGCTCAGAATTAGATTGAATGCTTTGTCCATTGGTATCAACAGATTCAAGGGTATCAGTTTCTGTTCCTTTAGTAAATATACCAACTGTTGGCAAAGTTGAATCTACAATACCAATTGCTTCATAACCAATTTCTGGTCCTAAATCAGACCAGAATATTGACTGATATAAATATGGTTTACCACTCCTTGTCATATTTTCTCCAGCCAAACGGCCACTTACAAATGCATGATCATGATGCTCTACTCTGCGTCTCCCAAATTTTGCATCATAAAAACACGATACATCTCCAGCTACCCAAAGATATTTTCCTACCTTCCAGTTCTGCATTTACTACAAAACCACCATGAGTTTTATCAATTTCAAGACCAGAATCTTTAGCAATCTCAGTATTAGGTTCAGCTCCTACAGCTACAACAACATGATCAGTAACAATTACTTCATTATTACTTAAATGTAAGAGTATTTTTGATCCTTCATGTGATACAGATTTAACAGTAACTTCAGGTATAATTTTTATACCTTCATTCTGTAAAAATTTAGATGTCCATTTACTCAAATATTCAGGTAATATTTTTGCCATATTTCCACACTCTGGGAATAGTTGAACTACTTTTAAACCTCTACTAGTACCTCTTTTAGCAAGTCCATAAACTAATTCACTTCCTAAAAATCCACCTCCCACAACAACAATTGCATTTATTTTCCTAGAAATTCTGTCTAACTTTTTAAAATCGTCAGCAGTTCTAAATAACGTTATATGTTTTTTTATGGAATCCTCAACCTTTTCAAAAACAGGAAGATTTTTTGGTTTTGAACCAGTAGCAATAAGACATTTCTCATACGAAATTTTTCCACCATTTTCTAAATAAACTATTTGTGACATAGGGTCTATTTTAACAACTTTCACACCGCGCATAACAGATACACCACCATTTTTATTTTCAAGTAATTCTTTAACAGTGAAATAATAATCTGGAGGTTCAAAAAATAAACTACGTTCTTTTCCATTCCATCGATATGACAGCATCTGAGCCATATCTGGATTGTCACCATACCACATTTCTTTAGATAGAGGTGGTCGCATATATGGAAAAAAAGGCTCTTCTCCTATCATTAATACTTTGGCTGTCGGATCATTAATGCGTATGGACCTAAAAGCTGTGAATGATGCACTTCCGGCTCCGATTAATAAATATGGAATTCGTCCAAAATTATTTAACAATGCGAGATCTTCATTTAAACTTTCATTGACGAAAGGTGTATCGACTTCATCAACATCATCAGAATCCCTGCTTGAATTATCATTTGATGGACGATTTGTAAAACGGTAATATGAATATATAGCCACTCCACTAACACCTGCTACACCCAATATAAGAGGAATTTTTTTCTGATGCCCAGTTTTGTTGCTCTGATATCTAATAAATGGGCGACATTTAATTATCTCTGCGGAACGCTTTAATAAATAATGATGTGATCTAAAATTTGTAACTTTGCAATTACGGTGGTAGCTTAGAGATGTGATGAGAATTTCTATATTTTCCTTGATAAATATCTGATGTAATCTAATCTAATTGGTATCTTTTACAAAATTGGCCTTGGCTACAAAGAACCTTAATCCAATCGGTTTTGATCATGCCATTCGGCCAGTTGGTAAGAGAGAGTAGTAGTGCATACGCACCCGCACAGAGGCGAAAAATTTATAGGAGATAATCCTGCGATTATAGCTGTACATGTGATAAGCAATTTGGCATTAGCAATTATTACGGCAGTGGTCTCAGTTCTCGTGCAGTCAGGCGGCATGGCGGTCAGATCGGAAAGCAATCCTTCAACCTCGGCATCCACTCCCTGAATGAGAGAGGAGCACTTAGAATTCTAAGCAACAAGTGAAACCCACGTGATGTGGGTCACCCAATCAGAGAAGAACTTAGTTCGCAAAGTTCTATTTGACCAGAGTGGTCACATGATTGATTCAATTGAATGGAAATTAAAATAATAGAAATAAACTTGAATAAATGAGATCTTGGGTAAATGGAAAAGATATATACACTATTTACATATTTACAATCACCATCTAGGATTGTGATGTATTGTGCGCGGTCTTTTTACCGTATGTTCAATAGTTGGATCATAATCAATGATGTTTTTGATTGCTTGGTACTCGCTATTCCTAGCTTTCTCAAGAAATTGTGAGATATGGTGAGGATGTGATCCATAAGATCAGGAATTTTGAGGTCTTTCTGGATATCTTTATTCCTGATAAACCAGGGAGCGTTTGTGATTGATCGTAATATTTTATTTGTGTAAAATACCAATCTTTTCCTTTCATTTTTATTGCCAATAGCCCAAGCAGGGGCGGCATCGGCATATGTAAGGATCGGTCTAATGAGAGAAGTATATAGAGAATCTTTTTTGTATGTAAGTTAAGTTTGGAGTTACGTCCAATAAGTGGATAGATAGCCATATAAGCAGAATTCCCTTTATTGGCAATGTATTGAAGGTGGGTTTTGAAGTTCAGCTGTTTATCGATATAGACACCCAGATATTTGTAAGCATCATTATGTGGGATAAGAGTGCTATTGATTTTAATTTCAGTGTTGACATTCTGAAGTTTTTTATAACGTCTATAGAGAACAGTATTGCATTTGTGAGCGTTGAGATTTATTTTCCAAATTGTGCACCAGTGTGCAATATTGTTAACATACATTTGGAGGTTGTTAATGGCCAGTTGAGGTTGAATAGATTCAGAGAGTACAACAGCATCATCTGGCATATTTGAAACACTTTGGCAGTTAAGAGGTTGAGGTAAGATCGTTTAATATAAATATTAAAAAGTTTTGGGCTCAAAACACTTCCTTGAGCGACGCCACAAAACATCCTTTTCTTTTTAGAGAAGGTATTACCTAATTCTGAGCTTGGAAGGTTCTGTTACATTGGATGAAAGAGAAGAAATAATTTTGAATTAGATTTTTAGGAATTTCGAAGATCAATGAGCTTTTAGAATTAGCCCAGGCATGCCACACTCGATCAAAAGCTTTCTCAAAATCGAGGTAGCATGCAGGCAACTGCACTCTTTTTTCTGAAAACGCAAGAGGGCTAATTGTTTCCACTAAGATTTAAGAACTTGATGAGGTAGTCGAGTGACCTTTTCCTGAAATCCAAATTGCATACGTATCAATAATGTCATTATTTTCTAGGAAGTTTGTGAGTCTATTGTTAAGGATTTTCTCATAAATTTTGCCCATAGCCGGCAAAAGACTGATAGGTCGATAGCTATTGACATCTTTTGGGTTTTTTCCCGGTTTGGGAATAAAAATTACGATAGAGTGCTTCCATTGTTGGGGGAAGTATGACTGTCTAATACAACCATTGATAATATTGCAGAGATTGATAATGCATCTATTTGGCAGGGCTTTAAGTGCTTTATTGTTAAGTTGGTCGTAACCTTTCGCTTTTCTTGGCTTAAGGTTTTTAATAATGTTTTTCACCTCTTTAGGAGAAGTAAACTGTATGTGCCTTTGAGGCGTAAAATTGCGTATGTAGCCTTTGACTGCTTCTTGAGCTTCGTTTTCAGTTTCCGAGTTATTAGACGGGAGGGGTTTAGAGATATTTTCTTGTACTTCTGCCATGAGGTCAGCAATGTCTTGGTCCGAATAATATTTAGTACCAGAGTGTTCAATTGCGTGCTGGGTATAACTGTTATTATTTTTGAGGGAGCGCGCGATTCTCCAAACATTTTCATGGTTCGGCTCCAAATTTTCAAGTAGATGGTCCCATTGTTGATTCCTGTATTCTTGAATTTCAGTCTTGATTTTTCGGTTTAGGTAATTGAGGTGCCGTTTATCATTTGGGTTTCTAGACTGATGCCAGGTCTTAATGGCTGCGTTTCTGAACTTGATAGTATTTTTAATCTGGGTGGGAAGAGTTTGAGATTTATTTTCTTTTTATGGAGTAAGTAGCAGTGGAAATAGCGTTTTGAATGGTAGTAGTAAATTTATGGATTTCGTTCTCTATTGCAAAGCTATGTGGGTAACTATTATTGCAGGTATAATTTTGCAGAAGACTATTGACTAGATTCCAGTTGGTCTTGGTAAGATGTTTTTTCAAAGGATGATAGAATCCATAGAAGTCAAAGGTGACTGGCAGGTGGTCAGAATTAAGGTCATAAGTGACTTCTAGAGAAGGAGTTTGGTTGATATTTTTGAGTAATAGAACATCAAGGATGTCTCCGGCGCCATCATGATGAATTCTAGTGGGGGAGAAAGGTGCGACAATTTTTAGATCTTGATTTAGTAGGTAGTTGTTCAAGAAATTTCCATTTGTATTGTTGGATCTTGAATTCCAAGCTTGATTTTTAGCGTTAAGATCACCCGCAATTAAAGTAGGAAAATTAGCAGCGGTGAGATTATTTAGATCATTATTGTTTAGTCTATTGCCAGGTGGGTTGTAGACTGAAATGAATAAATAGGGCTTCATTCATTCCACTATAAATTATTGCAGCTGTTTTTCTATATTGCCAGTGTTAGGTAATTCATATTTGGCGAAACGAAGGTAGTTTTTAATAATTATTGCAGTACCTCCACCTCTGTTATGAATTCTGTCGTCTCGGATTGTCCGGTATCCAGGGAAATTTATCCGATGTGACTTCCTTAGATGTGTTTCGTTGAGCAGCATGATTGTCTATGTTATGGGTGATGAGGAAGTTTTTAATTTCCTCCTTTTGCTTATGAACACGTTAGCATTGAAGAAAGTGACTTTAAGAAAGCACTTGCTAGTGGTTATGATCTTGTGTTCATTACTTAAAGGACTAGAAATCATAGTTTAGAGATGAAAAATATTCTATGGCTGCCATAACAACTCGATTTTGTTCATAATATTTTTAGCTTCTTTGAAGCTTTTTAGAAATTCTTTAGCTTTTGTCAGCTGCAATTTAATCCACTCGCAGAAGGAGGGAGGTTCCGGTTCTTGATTCTGTTTCTGGGTTGGAGGAGCGGATTACAGCCGCTTGCGTGCTGGTATTTTGTGCTGCCGCTGGTTAGAGCAGGGAAATCTTCTTGATTGAGTTGGAATGTAGGTTGAGGTGGTTGAGCATTTTCCGTTTTACGAGTTTCTATTGCTTTTTTGATATTGTTAGGGTGGAATTTACACAGTTTTGAAGAGCTTACGTGGTCTAAACCACATAAGGCACATTTTGCGGAGTGTAAGATTTTGTCCTGTTTGCATGTATACCCTTCGTGAGGGCCTGCGCATTTTTGGCATCTTGGTTTGTAATTGCACTTTTCCTTAATATGCCCGTATCTTTGGCATTTATGACATTGAACTGGTCCTGGGCGACTTTTATACGTGCATACCAGAACATCAAGTCCACGTAGTGAAGTGATGTTAAATATCTTTTTCCCCTCGTTGTTTCTTTTGGTTTCCACGAGGAAAACCGGTAATTTAATAATTTTGCCGTCTTCAAATTTTTCAATTTGTTTTATTTTTGTGATGGGGATGCCCATACTGGCGATTTCTTCTTTTATGATCTCCGGGTTTGAGGTTCTTGGGAGTTTTTTGATAATGGCCTTTAAAGGTTTTTCGCTTTTAAGTTTATACGTATTCCATTAAAAACTTGTCTTTGATTAGCACATGTACGTAACTCACACGCCGCCGAAATAAAACAAACACAATCGCAGGTGCTGCCAAATATAACATTATATTTTTAATTCAGAATATAAAAATAAACAGTATCATCAACAAGTCTTCTAAATTTTGTACAGAATGTTTTCGTTTGCCATACGACTTATCAACATAGTATTAAATACCTACTATTGCGTATCTCATATTTTTCCAGACAAATCCCAGCAATTATAATTTTGAGTGATAGCCCGAATTTCCTTTTTAACTGTAATCGTGCAGATGAAATTTGTAAATAGACCGGCACGTGTTTTCTTTTGCTGAATGTTGAAATGACGACCAAACAATATTTACAATTTTCGCGAGGCCCAGTATTTGGAATTATTGCTAGTGCTAGTGGTAAAATATTACAGGTTAATCAAAGAAACAATAAAGATGATTTCGTAGCAGTGCCGGCTTGTGAAAACATATTAATATGGAATTTGCAAACCAAAGAAAAGGTTGATATATTTTGATAAAGAAATAAATTTAAATATTCTGATAGTTAAGTGATTATTTAAATTTTCATTTTCTGTGCCCTTATAAATATGCATTTTAGGGATAGTTTAGTATATTTATTGTTTTTGATTGTAAACTATGCAGTTTGTTTTATTTTTAGCATATGGTTCTAAATGGAGAAGCGAGTGCTGTTACTTCCCTGGTTACTGACCATAATCATAGAAATATTGCCGTTGGTTACGCCGATGGAATGATTCGTATCTTTGATCTACAGTTAAATAATTGTTTAGTGTCATTTATTGGTCATAAATCCGCTGTCTCGTGTTTGGCTTATGAAAGTGAAGGCTCAAATTTAGCATCTGGCGGCAAGGTATGTCGTAATATTATGATATAAATAGTCTTGAATCCTAAATTCGTATCTATATGTGGTTATAGTATTGTTAATAGGTCATTAAAATCTTAATATTTATTCATTATCTAATGTAAATGGTTTATAGCCTCTGGTTATGTCATTAATGAAAAGAAAACCATTAGCAGTAAATTTTACTGAAAATTAAAAATACACTTACAATATTATGAAGGACTATCTGTTTTGTCTGCACAATTTGTTTACTTTGTTATAATACTCAATTAGAGTTGCCAGACATGCATAGTAATGAAGAATTCATTTATTTAATTTGTTATTTAATTATAATTTTCCTTGGTATGTTTATTTGTGAGATATATAAAACAGTCCTTTGTTAAAGAGAAAGTTAATTGCCAAATTTTTCAACTTAAATTTGTAGAACATTTATACACTAAAGATTGGGCTAAAATTCCATAAGCGGGGTATGTTGGTGCCAAACTATTTTGGCCTTCAAAATTTGGCAAATTTTTTAGGAGCACTAAATGAAAGCACTAAAACATGATTTTTAAACGTAAACAGAATAGTAACTTTTAAGTTTTGCAGTAGTGAAACACCGTTATTTTATGTAAACAGAATAGTAAAATGAAATGATAAAATACTAGATGAGTAAAACAAAGTCCAACAGCTTTGCAAGTAAAAGCAAAGTCCAATATACCGTATTTGACGGCATATATAGCACTTTTTTTCCTAAATTTGGTCTCAAAAAAAAGTTACCTGCATCCTATACGTGAAGGACACAGTTTTATATGTGAAGGTAATTGCATTCAATAATTGTTTATTTGGCTTTTACAAAACGTGAGAACTAAAAGAAACCACGCTATTGAAACTTTTTTTCTTGTGTGTGGCCGTCTAAACAAGGGTGCGTCTTATATGCAGTCAAATATGGTACAGTCAAAAGTCAATAATCTGGACTCGTCGGGACTTCGGCGATTCCGGATTACAGATCATCAGTTTAAATCTGGTAAGATGGCATGCAGAAATTACAAAATTAAAAATATGAAACCATAATTTATGAAATAAAGAACAATTATGATCTAAAGGGTATCAAAATTTACAAAAAGAAAAAGCTTAATATTTATTTGTTTACTTTATTAAACATTTCTTTCAATGTAAGTTGTTTAAGTTGCTTCGTTTCATGTGATAATACTTTCTCTTTAATTCTATTAAACAGACATTATTTCTTGTTTAGTTACAAATTTCTGCTGTTCAAGTCCTATAATTGCTGTGTTGAGAATACCGACTAATTTGTCAATCGAAATGTTTTCGTCTTAAATAACCTCTGGGTCACTTTCTTCACTATCAGAAGCGAATTATAATGACGAGGAACTTGATTTAAATCATATGAAAGACGGAGTACATTGAGATGAAATACTACTTTTAGAAGGGAATTATAAGCCAAATAAAATAAAAACATCTGCCGTGAAGATAAGGATAGTGCTGACAGATCAACTTCCAATTCATTGCGCGCCGCGGCGTGTAATTGATAAACAGATTTCGGATTTCGAAACATACTTTTGCTTTGTAGATCCTTTACATATTAGTAAATATATATCGAAAATTCTGTTTGACATAATCGAAAGTTCAAGCTTACTTTTATAAAATTGCTCTAACAGTCTGCAAAAAATAATAAGCCGGATCCAATTCGAAGATTAAGGAACAATGCAATCTACAACATTAACTGAATTAGATAATTTTAGCTCAGCTTATACTGTCTGTTACACATCAAACGCGCATGCGCACACGCATATTCGCAGCTGTAAAGGTCTTACGCGCACTCGTAAGCAGAAAGTTTGTAGCTTTGAGGTCCAGATTATAGATCATTCCGGATTATGGGTGTCCGAATTAACGACTTTTGACCGTATATGTAATTCATCATAATATAGTAGAATGAACAATTATTGAGTAAATAAATTTATACACTTATCAGATCAGAGCACTGCGAAGTCAGTTTTAAACGTAAACAGAATAGCAAATTATGCATATTCAGCATCATAAACTAAGGAAAATATTCAAGTTACTATCATTATGAAATTCAACACACTAAACGACTTTTGTTCAAAGCTTTAAATATTCCACATCTTTCGATTGCCACATGCAAGAAACAAAACTAAAAAAAAAAAAAAAAAAAATAATAAAATTAAATGAAAACATTCATAAATTATAAAAATTTCATGTCATATGAAATCCAACATTCTCCACCAAACAACAGCTTACCTTCCGCAAATATTTATATAAATATAATATTAAACATATATATAACAATAATATTAAACAGTAAAACTTTTAAAAACAAACACAGTATTTCAAAATTAAATTTAAAAAAAAATCTGGCTACACTAAATTCGCACTCATAGTTATCGAAATAAAGCTCTAGGTTTGCCACAAGAGAACATACAGCCGGAAACCACAACCAAATTTAAATCGCACCAAATAAAAAACTCTCGCCAAGCTTGGCGCTCACCCCAATTATGGAATTTTAACGAAAGATTGTGACAATGCAGCAGTTTTCTTATTGTGTGACTAGCTCACCAGCGGCCGAGCGGTAAAGTCGCTGAACACTGGTAGTTCGGTCCGAGGTTTGAATCCCGTGAACAGGCTGGCTGCAAGAGTGTTTTCGTGGTTTTCCCCATGTGTAACATGTATACGAGCCAGTTCCCCTTAGAATGTCCTCCACAAAGGCATCCCTCCCCCTAGGCAGAAGCCCTCTTGGCTTTGCCGTAATTAAATAACCTAGCCTAACCTAACCTTATTGTGTGACTCGCCATCTTATTAAACTTGGGGCTAATCTTTGGAATATGGTAACAGGTAGTTTGGCGACATTTTGGTAAGGCGATAAAGGTTACCAGGTAGGACTTAAGCAATAATCAGAGAAGTACACAGTTCGAATCACATATTATTTTCTCTCAGAGAAATGAGAGATCATGAGACGTGTCATGTGACATTTTCCAGAAAATTCTGATCGTGATTTTAGCTAATATGCACTTAAAAACAATTTCGCTGTTAAAGTGCAGAATCGCCCATGTATTTGTTTGGCGCTTTTTACAAGAGTAAGAAGAATTGGATTTTTGTCAATTTTCTTTGACTTTTTAAGTGAAAATAGGTCGATGAGTACATGGATAAAGTCAAGTGTGTGTGCAATGCTATTTTTGTGCAATTCTAGGATTTTTGGTTGATCTTTACATTATGGTAACTCGGCAATTTTTTTGCGAAAATTTGACGACCAACTCTCCTACAGCAACCCTCATTTTTTTTTTCCCGCC